CTACTGATAACCGCTTTCTCTCCTTTAATTCAATATCCGGTTCATTCACCGCCCTTGCATTCTTTTATGTTGTCCACGTATACCGTAATGATGATACTGTGCGCTATATCACTAATTGTTGTTGTTAGTCTGGGAGGAGGAGGAGGAAGAGTACGTTCCCACTTCCACGTCTATTGGAGGGAAATTATGAGGACTAGCTCCATCCTGACAGGTTTATTAGCGGTAATATCACTTATTTCGATTAGCAAACCCTATATTGCCTTGATCTCATTCCTTGTGTGGCTTTTCTTCGCCATTCACCTTATCCACAGGTTGATTCAGATCTTAAACCAACCAATATTACCCATTACTATCAATGCCAATTAATACAATATTTGGTATGCTGAAAAATTGAACAACAAACTTGTTCCATTGGTGTAATAAAGAGCACAGGCAGCAATTCCAGTGTATCATATTAGTGTCACATTAAGATATAGATTCTATGAGGAAGGAATCTATTTGATTGTCACATCAGTGTTGTTGTTGTTTTAATGTTACTTTTTTTTTTAAATGTAATGTGATATACATTGGATATAATTTTTAATCTATATAATATGTGTGTTTTTCTTAATGGATAATTCTGCCATCTTTTATCATACTTATACCTTTTGTTATGATAGGCAAATCACCATTTGTATTGAGTTAACACTAGGTGCCTTTAATTAATATTATGAATTTCCTTTTAAGTACCAAAAAAAAAAAAAATTTGTGTTTTTTTAATATGGTGCAAGGTAAGGTAATGTGTTAAGGGACTAGACATCAAGAGCTATTTGATTAGAAATCAACTTTTAAAAAATGTTTTTATTGAGAAATTAATTTAGAAAGTATTACACAGAATTAAAAATATCATACATAAAGTTGAAATTTTGTAATAAAATTATGTTGGATTCTTAGTTTTTTGTGTTTGTTAATATGGAAGGGATTTGTCTAACTTGTGTCCTAAAACTCATTAATTAGGGAATCTTTAATTAATTTTACATAAATTTTTATATCAAATTTATAATTTTTTACAAATTTTGAGGTAAAATATTATATTTTATTTGAATCTTAAATAAAAATTTATGTAAAATTAATAACAGATATTACAATAAATAAGAGTTAACCTATGCCCTAAAGGCACATGTTAGAAGATTTCATATAGAAAAGATTAATAAGAAAATTTTTAAGTTAATCTCACATAATGAAAGTTTTTAATTGTACAATTAATGAATTAAAATCACCTTTAAATTTTTCTATACAAATTTATATTAAAAAAAAAAACAATTAATGCATCCTAAACCTACATGTTAAACAACCCTTTAAAAAATTAAATCTATTTAGTGCCTCAACATATAATGTT